TGCCAATTGAATCCATTTTATTCATTGTTATTGTGTTTCTGAAATAGAATAGACGCATGTGCAAAAAATGAATTACAAAATGGAAAATATACAGAAAATCGAGTTTCAAGAGCAAAATTATATATTTGGCGAGTTTGTGGAAATCGACGGTGATATTATGCTGGTTAGTAATACACGAATTTCAAACGCCAAAGTTGCAGAGGATGCTGAAGACGATGAACAACTTATAAAATTCTTGGAAACCATAAATATGGAGTCTGTTTATAAATACTTGAAAGGTAAATAAATTAGATATACTACGAATTCTAGCATGTCATACTTACTGTTTTTGTCAATATTTTAGGGGCACAGGTAACATTTCGGAGTTTGCAGCATTTATAAAAAGATTATATAAGTTTGCGGAGGTGCATGAATCGGTTGCTAAATCACTGAAAACTTCTTTAATAAGAGAATGTGACAATTGGGGATCGGGTCAAGGCAAATAGAAAATATCAAAGAGATTTACATACTTTAAATATGCAAACATTTTTTTTATAGAATGGGCAAAGGACAGCCAAATTAGTGAATATTTTTAATTTTAATTTGTTTAATTTTCTCATATGCTATAATATATTTAAATATTGATTTCGATATAAAGATTTAAAGATTTTATTATTTCCACATTTCACTTAGAATGATATGAATTTGATTTATTTAAGTAAAAGTTATATGTGTAAACGCATGTTTTTTTAATAAAATATGTTTGAAATAAATAAAAATATTTGTTTTTATTGGTATTACTCTGGGAACAAAATGAGAATGGAACGGTATGGATACTTCAAAATTGACACTAAAGAATGTCCATTCGACACCGCTATGGTGACAACTTTTGAGCACTGATGTTGTCAACTTGTACACGTTCGTGATCGAAACCGTTGTTAAAAGCTCGGTATCAAATTGAGAACGCAGTGTTCAAGTTAAATACAAACGGTGTTGATACACTATTCACACCGTATGTACTGATTTTGTATACGGATGTCGTAATTTTTTCTCTTGGTGTAGCCCTTACATAATTATAACCCCAAATATTCGATAATTCCTACACTATGTAAACTGACTTTGCAATCTAAATTGCAGTAGTAGTTGTTAGTATCAGCCCACGCTGTGGGGTTTTCATTAAAAATTGCTGAAATTTGTATTTGGTGTACATAGTGGTTTACATAAACCGGTTTATAGAATTATCGGTATAGGTTCACTTTTTGGTATCTTCCCTATATTTTCATGTCACGTACCTGTCAGTATACCTATGGTGGAGGGTATCCAACTTAACGCTTTTTCACTTATTTATATTAAAATGAGCTACGCTCAAACGATTTTCCTGGCAAAACATGCCTTTTTTTAATTATTTCAAAAAGTGTATGAAAAATGATTGTGGTTTGTATTTGATATTCGATATCTTACTGCTAAAGGCCCTGATATTGCAATGACAAATAATGACTCCTGTCATTACTCTAATTTCAGCTTTACTCAGGTGGTTCTCTTCGTTAGTAGAGTTGCACCTAGGTTCGTTGTGCCAAAGTTCATTGGATCGTTCGTCGAAGAACGCTCCAAAGTTCCAAAAAAGGTGAAAGATGGGTGGTTTGATTGAACCATCGATTGCTATATCTGTGGATTGAGATTCATTACGCATGATGCCGCAGTGTCCTGGTACCCAACACAGCCGACAGCTGTTAGTAAGTCCAAGAGACCAAACAAGAGATCCATAGAAAAGGATGGGCCTTAACTCGGTGTTATACCTCCAGTGTATAGTCGGTGGTTTTAGCCCCCAACTTTTCCCAATGAACTTCTTGCATGCATAGAGTACAATCCGCCCTCTCTCCGCCCGTTCTTCAGCGATTTTGCCAAGGTATTTTGCATCAGGTGACAGATGAAGGTGCATTCCATCCAATCATGGCGGAGCTAAGACGCCGAGCCTACGTTTCCTAGTGAACATTCCAGTTCCGTCTTTTTTGTGTTAGCCTTGGCTCAGCGTGACAGCGTCGATTAGGCTCTTTGCATAAGCTCCGAGATTGTTGACGGAAATTTTCCGGAAATCAATATCACGACTTCGTCTGCATAGTCTACGACTTTGATATCTTTCCCGTCCAGTTCTGTCAGTATGTTGTTAATTACCAATAACCATAGCAACGGTTATACACCCTGAGGGGTGTATCTAGTTACGGTTTTCCTGATTTTTGTATCCCCCACACTTGAATTTATAATTCTGCTGTTTACTATTTCATCTATCCAACAAGGGTTTCAGGAATGCAAACTTCCTTAAGTGAATGGATGCACACCTTCTTAGATAAATACATAATAGTAAAATCTTAAAAACATCATATGCGCTCAAACGAATTTCGACCACTGTATAATGTCCCTACTCGACTGATAACATCCGTGAGTATGTAAAATCTAAAATAAAAGATGTATCTGATAGTGATTTAAAAATCTTTAAATAATATTCCCTAACAAATTGGTTAATTCTATAGTAAACAATTCGTTTTAGCCCGATGTTATCTTTGTAAAAGAGTTTGTTTTCAGAGAACATCAACACATTCGTAGATCTGTTAATATTCCACCTGTTCAAAAAAAAAAAAAACTAAATATTGCCTTACCGGTTCTATATCAAAATGTTAGAGGCCTTAATACTAAATTGAGAAAAGTGTTCCTTAAAACTTTCTATTGTGATTATAAAGTAATTATTTTAGCGAGACTTGACTTAAACCTGATGTACTCGATACAGAGATATTTTCTGATAATTATCAAGTTTTTTGAATTCTGCCTTTACCAGGTAAATGACGTATTTAATGTTATGACGTATTTAATGCTAAAGAAAAACTATTCGATTTAGGTGCTCTCCATATGTAATTCCTGAAGACATTTATCATCCTACACTCACTGTCCACAAAAACTTAACTTTGCTGAAACAAGTATTGCGCAAGTACGTTCTTCATTGATTTGTGTGTATCAAGATTTTACGATGTACTAAATATTTCTCTAAATAATTATGTTCCTACTGTAAAAAATTGAATCATCAGAGTCCTCCCTGGTTTACACGGATTCTTAAGCGTTTACGCAATATAAAAAGTAGATTATTTAAAAATTCAAATACTGGTCTTAATTATGGAAAGTATTCATTGGCGAGGAGCCGCTATAATTCTGAAAATTCTCGATGTAATTTTCAGCATTTTCAACACAGATGCGATTGAACTTATTGAATAATCCTAAATATTTTTTCTTTTTTTAAAAAATTTGTATATTCTAAGAGAAGAGCACATCAAGTTCCTAGCTTTATGAAAGATGGAAGTAAAGAATCATCAGACAACACAGAAACTGCAAATCTATTTGCTGACTTTTTTCAGTCATCCTATACTCAAAATACATTTAGTGGTCGATATAATTTTCAAATTGATCAATTAAATCATTTTCCTCGTTTCTGCTTAATTGAAGATGATGTTTATTCTGAGCTAAAGGCATTACTTTCCTCATTTTCCCCAGGTCCTGACTGAGTTCCAACCTATATTTTGAAATCTTATGCTAATGAATTATTTGTACCCCTTAAAAAATATTTAATTATTCCTTAAATACAGGTTGCTTTCCGCACTTCAAGAGGTCGAGTTTTGTTATCCCCCTTCGTAAATCTGGTAATAGGTGTTTCATAGATAACTATAGATGTATTGCGAAGCTAAACTTATTGAACTTTTAGTTTGACAAGGAATATCACATTTTATAAAAAGGATTATTTGACCTTTTCATCACGGTTTTACGAAAGGCAGATCTACGCTTCCAATCTTCTTGAATTTATATGTCATGTTCATAATGGCTTTGCAAATAAACAGCAAATTGGTGTTATTTATACAGACTTCAGTAATGCTTTCGATACTGTAGTTCATAAGCTATTGCTCCATAAATTTAATGTTATAGGGTTCCCATCAATTATTTTAAGTTGGATTTCATCCTATTTAGATTATCGTACCCAAAAGGTTTTGTTCAGTGATTTCTATTCTAAATATATTATTGCTTCCTCTGGAGTTCCGCCAAGAAGTCATCTGGGTCCGTTATTGATTGTTCCAAAATACTAATGTATGCAGATGATGTAAATCCTAAACTAAGGCATCATCTTCATGTGTCTTTATTAGGTTGTTTTAAATGCTGTTCTAACGAGTTTGATAACCCTTACGTTACTAAAAGATTATTTTTTAGTATTGTTCGTCCAGTCCTAGAATATGGTTGCATTCTTTGGGGTCCATTTTATAAATGTCATTGTGATAAAATTGTGTCAGTTCAAGTTCAGCTTTTAATATTTGCCTTGCGTTAATTAGTCTTCCAACACTAAAAAGAATAAGTTTTATGTTAAGAGCATTACTTTTTATTAAATTAACACGTGGACTGATTGATTCACCTTTTCTTACGGCAGAAATAATTTGTAATGTCCCCTCTCGAAGAACACGTAATTTTGAACCGTTGAAATTGTCCATCGGGAGAGCTAATTATGAACTAAACAACCCAATTATATATTATGTTTAATATATAGTAGCATAAGTAATGTAATATGCCTAAGTAGTCCATTGCATGCTATCAAGAATTCTATACTGGGCTTGGAAACAGTAGACCCTGGCATTTGAGCAGCAGTTGTCCAATTTTGTATTATAGCTTTTGCTTACTGTTGTTTGTTTAATGTATATTAAGATAGTTTATGGTATGTATTGATGTAATTCTAATTTATATTTGTTGTATAATTACTAATTGCCGGCAGTTGATCTATCTGTAGCCGGTATTGTAAAACCACTACTAACCCGCCGAAGTCCGGTCTTTGGTGTGTACGTGCTCCCTGCATATAGGGAGATAGCCCCTCGGTCGGCAGGGACGGGTGTGAGAGGCGTGGGAATGAACAAAAAATTAACTTATATTTTATATATTTATAAAACATTGTATAGTAGTCTATAATATTCCTACAAGAATAATTTTTTTTATAATTTTAGGCACTACATCGATTGTAACATATACACCTGTCACAGAGCTCGATTATGGTACGCTTCTCTGCTCCGCTACAAATAAAATAGGCAAGCAGCGAATACCTTGCATATTTCACATTATAGCCGCAGGTAGGTGCTCTTTGTAATATAATTATTTATATTAAAATCAGTTCAATAAGTGGTGTAAATATTAAATTTCATATTACTAATAGTCCGATTTTTTATAAGAAAAAACTTTTATTTTATTTGTCGGCAAATTTTTAAACGTATTTTGATAACATATTTTGCTAATTCTTATATAAGTATACGTACATAGATTGTTATATAGTACTACTACTACTACCAAAAAACGTTGTTTTTTAGTTTGCATCTTATTTTAACACTTGAGGAAATCATACAAAATATATAAAAAAATAGGATCGCGATATTTTTTCCAAATCTAATTTGAATCTAAGAGATATTCTTTAATTTTTTATAATCATCCTAAGCATGAATATCCAAAAGGGATTCGATCCCCGTGGAACACATTTTCTCTCGGATTGAATCTTCCGATCATTAAAAATTTGAGAAAAAATAAAATGGGAATATTACATTACTACTTCTACTTACTTATATAGTCGGGTTGTGACAGAACGGTTGTTCCAAACTCGTCGGTCTCTCAAACACTCATCCATACATCAGCACGGGTAATATCAGGATCTTGTAGAGTCTGAGTTTGGTCTTTCGAGAGGTGGTCTTGGTCCGGATTTCAAAGCTGATGATATTAGTTTTGTTTGTGGCGGTACAGAGGTATATAAAATCGTTCACTACCTTTGTCACATCAGTAGTATTACGATCGTACCATGGCACTATAGGTAATTTCGACAGTTTTTTGAGCAAAAAGTCATTTTTCCAATTTTGGAAAATAATATATTTTTTTGATGGTATTTAAAAGAAAACATGTCAAAAATTATGATTCTGTAAGATTTTTCGCGTAAAAGTGTCTTAAAAGCGGTGCTAATCGTAGCCAAACTCTACACTTTGAAAATGAAATTGAAGAGTTTTTTTTTTTAATTAAGACGTATTTTAAAAAGTTTGAAACCGCTAAATGCAAAGCATAAACATAAAAATTGAACATGGAGAGTATTGGCGGAGGTGTGTACTGTTTATTTATATTTTAATATCTGTTAATAAGTGTGTGTAGCGATTCAAAACTTACTTGATTCCAGTAGGTCTCAAATTGCGATTTTCATGATATATGAGTTTTTTGTGGGGAACTTCAGAATAACAACAATAAAATGTTCGATATTTGGTTTGATAAAGGAAATAAAAGCAAAGAAACATATTGTTGTTTACTACGTCACCGCAAGTAAGGTTTGCAATAACAACAATATGGACGAAAAATACGTCAAATTATAAGAGGAAATTAGGTTATTTTGCACGCATTTCTCAAGATGGACAGAATGTCAAAGGAAGAAAGAACTTTTCCGCAAAAAAAAAAAAACGAATACACTCTAATTTTGATTACAAAATAAATAACTTGAGTCGCAAACCGCAAATGGGTTGTCGAAGGAATGAAATGCTTGAGTTCCCCGTAGAATATAAATTATCAAAAATTTACTTTTTTCAGGATGGATTAAAAAGTGTTGTTATTATATCCAGTGTTTACTATATTCGTGTTCGAATGTAGTAAGCATGGTTTTATCTCACTTTTACATATGAACAACTTAAAAGGATAAATGGGCACTGAATTAATCGATATTAATGCATTTTGCAAAAACATACGACATTGTAATAATTATTCCTTTAAAAATCTATACGCGGGGTCGAAATTTTTTTAACACACTACCCGAATAGTTTTCAACCTTTGTTGTGTTTAAGAAAACTAATGAAAATATCTAACAAAGAATTAGCTTTGTTCGTTATATGTGTAGTTACTTATAACCGTTGTTCGTTATATCCGGTTTCTACTGTGGAAAACTGCATTTATATAACATATAAATAATAAAATAAAATAAACATATAAATCATTTAAAAAGTCAAAAAATCGTTTCACTCCGCTATTATTAACAATAACAACTAAAACCATCTGGGGGCATCAAGATTGAATTTATTCTCTCCAAAAAAATCAACTAAGAAAACATATCGAAGAAATCTACGGACGGAATCAGGATATTTCTTAAAACGATATTTCGGTGTCGGTTCCTTAATGGTCTTGGGAGCATTTTATAGCCACGGAATGCTTAATTTGCCATTTCCTTGTTGTCGTCTGAATTCAGTGGAGTACGTTTAAGTCTTGGAAGACAAATTATTGCCATTTTGGGAAAGCAGCAACAATGAAGGACTCGTTTTTAGCAGGACAACGCACCGGTTCATAAAAGTCGCCATACTCAAGTATGGTTAAAATCGAAAAATATTAAAATTTCAGACCAGAATCCGATCGAGAACATGTGTGGAATCCTGACTCATCGTGTCTATGCAGAAAACCGCCAATACCAAACTGTATTTTACCTCCAAGAAGTGATTATCGGTGATTGGCGGTCAATCGATGAAGACTTGCGAAAAATTTTAATCAACAGTGTGATAGATAAAATTGTTGAACTTATTCATAATTAGGGAGGCCCTACCCATTATTTATAAAAGTTATTTAATTTTATTTGAGTTTAAAAAAATAAATTTTTCTAGTTTTGTAAAAGTGCGTCTATAGTCATGCAACAACAGTAATTTTGATAGTGCAGAATTCGGTGTTTTTGATCGTTTTATTGTGAAACATAACTTAATGGGTCAATTTTATTTGTCAACTAACATACCAATTGAATTAAAGGTGTGGCTATAGTTATGATACGCAGTGTATTCTACCAAGCGTTATTAGTATCAGTTCACGCTTTGGGGTTCTCAATAAAAATTGGTGAAATTTGTATTTGGTGTTCATAAATCGGTTTGTAGAATATTCGGTATAGGTTCATTTTTTTGGTATGTTCCCTATATTTATACCCTTCACCAGACTGTGGTACAGGGTATTATGTCTTTGTGCATATGTTTGTAACAGGCAAAAATAATCAAGATATACCCATGGTTCCTCTTGAGAATATGCATAGAATCACTTTCTGAGTCGATTTATGCCTGTCCGTCCGCCCGTCAATGTATTTTTGTTAACAAAGTACTGGTCCCATTTATGATCCGATTTGGATGAAATTTGGCACAGGTCACTTAATTGGCCCAATGACGAACCCTATTGAAATTGGAGCAAATCGGTCCACGTTTAAGCATAGCTCCCATATAAGGGTACCCTCCTAATTTTCGGTATTTTGAGGTTCTTTAGCGCGCTTTTTAACTGAATTCGCTGAAATTTGGTACATTGAGTTCTTATTGGGTAGCAAATCTCCCTACTAAAAATTATAAATATAGGTCCATTTTTTCGGATAGTCCCCATATAAGGGTACCCCCAGTTTTCCGTATTTTGGGGTTCTTGGGCTAGTTTTATAACTGAATTCTCTAAAATGTTGTACATTGGGTTCTTATTGTGTACCAAATTACTCCAATAAAAATTATAAATATAGGTCCAGTTTTTCTGGTAGTAACATATAACGGACCCTCCAAATTTTTGGAATTTTGGGGGTTCTGATCGTATTTTTCGACCGAATTGACTGTAATTTAGTACGTCGAGTTCTTATTAGCTAGCAAGTCTCTCCACTATAAATTATAAATAAAGGTCCATTTTTTCGGGTAGCCCCTGTATAAGGGTACTCCCTTATACAGGTCACTTAATTGGCCCAAGTTTCGTGCAATTTTATGTAAATGGAGCAAAATACTGCCAATATTTATCTGATTGAGACAAAATTTTTCACACCGTAATAAATTAGGTCATGAATGATGAATGCGAAGTTTTGTTGAAATCGGAACAGATTTAGATATAGCTCCCATATATAGTATCGTCCGATTTAATGTAAATAGTGCACTTCCAATATTGGTACAATTGAAGCAAAATTTTGCACAGCATACTAGATTAGGTTCCGACTGATGAATCCGAAAATGTTGTTGGAATCGGTTCAGATTCACCATACTGGCAATATTTATCCGATTGAGACAAAATTTTGCACAGCGTTCTAAATTAGGTCATTGATGAATACGAAGTTTTGTTGAAATCGGTTCAGATTTAGATATACTCCCATATATAGTTTCGTCCGATTTAAAGTAAATTATGCACCAAACTCCCTATATTGGTCCGATTGAAGCAAAATTTTGCACAGAGTACTGAATTAGGTCCCGACTGATGTATGCGAAATTTCTATATCTACAGGATATTGTAGATATTAACGGCCCGGCCGAACTTAACGCTTTTTCACTTGTTTATAGTTCTTATGGCTGAACTCGCGCACACGCCATCCCCTACGGCACCCCTCGAAACCCAATAGCATAAAGGAATTTGGAGTGAATTCTGTACGGTTGGTTTGCATGGTTAAACTATTATACAAATATTTTCATATACATTTGTTTTGTTAATGATTATTTCCCTGGTAATGAAGTTTGTATACGGCTTATGACCGCAGTAAATGTTGTGGGTGCTAGTGTTATGTTAAGTGGAGTGCATTTCTGCAAATTAACATTGTACTATCCACAACAGATTGGTATTATATGCCAGACAATCTCACTCATTTATACCGTTTCGTATTCGAAAGTACTTTCGTCGTTAGATCGCATACCGTTGGTAAGTCATTGATTTTGTTTTTATTACATCTTTATTGAGTTTAAACGAAAAAGGGTGGCCAGCTGTGATAAAAAAATATTTAATTTCCGAAAATAATTAACTTTTTAATTTTAATTTTGTTATTATTAAATTTTGTTTGATGGTAAATTTAACATTTAATAACGTTTGTTTTTGATGTTAATGACAAAAAGCGGTCACCCTTTCGTGGGAGCTCTGTCTGTGAAAGAAAGATAAAAACATAAATTAGAACAACTTTTGGTATCTCCTTTCTGCTATTTATTTTCGTTTAGTTTCTTGTAAATAATTGTTTTTATACTAATTAAAAAAACATTTCTAGTAGCGCAGTGGACAAAAACGTTAATGTATGTCTTCCTTCGTAAGTAGCACATTTGCGCGAAATATGATAAAAATAATAAAAATATAGGAGATTATTTCTTTATTT